CCTCATCCCTGTGAAGTCTGAAGGTGCCATGGAACAGAGAAAGGGAAAGCCTCATAGTTTCTTCTTTAGCCTCTGCATCTGGCTTGATAACATTCCAACTCTCCTATTTAATAAACACCTTGGACATAGAATTGAATAAATGTGGGTTAAGTCACACTCAGTTTCATTGCTCCTATTTAAAATCTCTACCTTTCCCCTTCCTACCTTCAGCCCTAGCTTCTGAGACTCTGTAGGTGATTTTTTTTCTTCATCTGTTGTGTATAAAGAACTCTTATCAGTAATTTTGTACATTTTTACTTCCCTAGAGGGTCCAAGCTTAAAAAGAGAAGAAGGAAGCATAGAAAGATTTTTTTTTAAGTTGATTTTTTTTTCTTCTTTGGTTCTCTTTTTTTGCTGTCAACAGCTTTTTTTTTTTTTTTGAGACGGAGTTTCGCTCTTGTTACCCAGGCTGGAGTGCAATGGCGTGATCTCAGCTCACCGCAACCTCCGCCTCCTGGGTTCAGGCAATTCTCCTGCCTCAGCCTCCTGAGTAGCTGGGATTACAGGCACGCGCCACCATGCCCAGCTAATTTTTTGTATTTTTAGTAGAGCGGGGTTTCACCATGTTGACCAGGATGGTCTCGATCTCTTGACCTCATGATCCACCTGCCTCGGCCTCCCAAAGTGCTGGGATTACAGGCGTGACCCACCGTACCCGGCCAAGAGCTTTTTAAAAATTACACTTTAGGCCTGGCATGGTGGCGTGTGCCTGTAGTCCCAGCTACTTGGGAGGCTGAGGCTGGAGGATCGCTTGAGTCCAGGAGTTCTGGGCTGTAGTGCACTATGCCAATTAATTGGGTGTCTGCACTAAGTTCAGCATCAATATGGTGACCTCCGGGAGTGGGGGACCACCAGGTTGCCTAAGGAGGAGTGAACCCGCCCAGGTCAGAAACAGAGCAGGTCAAAACTCCCGTGCTGATTAGTAGTGGGATTGCCTGCAAATAGCCACTGCATTCCAGCCTGGGCAACATAGCGAGACCCTGTCTTTAAAAATAAAAAAATTATACTTTAGGCCGGGTGTGGTGGCTCATGCCTGTAATCCCAGCACTTTGGGAGGCTGAGGTGGGAGGATCACCTGAGGTCAGGAGTTCGAGACCAGCCTGGCTGACATGGAGAAACCCCGTTTCTACTAACAATACAAAAAAATTAGCCAGGTGTGGTGGCGGGTTCCTGTAATCCCAACTACTGGGGAGGCTGAGGCTGGAGAATCTTTAGAACCCAGTAGGCAGAGTTTGCAGTGAGCCAAGATCGCGCCACTGGACTCCAGTCTTGGTGACAGAGTAAGACTCCATCTCAAAAAAAAAAAAAAAAAAAAAAATTATACTTTAAAGACTTTAAAGGCTTAAGTTCCTGCTATAGAGACAGACACCACTGTTATCACTCACCTAGATTATACCAATACCCTCCAACTGGTCTCCCTGTTTTTACCTTGCTCTCTTAAAATTTTATCTCTACATAGCAGCTTTACTAAAAACTCTGCAGTGGTTTCTCATTTGATTCACAATAGAAGCCAGATTTCTTATGGTGGCCTCCCAGGCTTTACTTGATCTGGCCACCCGTTACCTCCCTGACCTCTTCTACTTGCTCTCTCTACTATGGCCACAGCTAGCCTCCTTGCTTGTCATACTTGGTGATCATATACTTTGCTCGCTGATTCCCCTGCCTGGTATATGATGCTCCCACAAATAATCTGCTTGACAGGTACACTCTCCTCACCTCCATTCCATCTTGCCTCGACTCTCTCTGTAAGTGTAATTTCACTTACACTCTGAAACTCATGACCCTATTTTTATTTCTGTTTTAATTAAGATAGACTTGGTTAGGCCGGGCCCGGTGGCTCAAGCCTGTAATCCCAGCACTTTAGGAGGCCGAGGCGGGTGGATCACGAGGTCAAGAGATCGAGACCATCCTGGTCAACATGGTGAAACCCCATCTCTACTAAAAATACAAAACATCAGCTGGGCATGGTGGTGTGTGCCTGTAGTCCCAGCTACTCGGGAGGCTGAGGCAGGAGAATTGCCTGAACCCAGGAGGCGGAGGTTGCGGTGAGCCGAGATCGCGCCATTGCACTCCAGCCTGGGTAACAAGAGCGAAACTCCGTCTCAAAAAAAAAAAAAACAAAAAAAAAAAAAAAAAAAAAGATAGACTTGGTTATGTTGTGGTAATGACTTAATCCCCAAATTGCAATGACTTAAGACAACAAAATCTTGTATCTTGGCTAGGGGTGGTGGCTCATGCCTCTCATCTCAGCACTGTGGGAGGCCAAGATGGGCAAATCACTTGAGCCCAGGAATTTAAGACCAGCCATGGGCAACATGGCAAGACCCTGTCTCTTCAAAATACATACATAAAAAAAAAAATTAGCTGGATGTGGTGGCACACCTCTGGTCCCAGCTACTCTAGAGGCTGAGATAGGAGCGTTGCTTGAGTCTGGGAGGTGGAGGTTGCAGTGAGCTGAGATCACACTACTGCACTCCAGCCTGGGCGACAGAGCAAGACCCTGTTCCAGAAAAAAGAAAAAGAAAATCTTGTGTTACATATCCATTATGCGTTAGGATAGCTCTGTTGACCCTCAGGGACCTAGACTGATGCCCATCTTGTGATGCATCTCAACATGTGGTTTCCAAGGGTCACATCTATAGGGAAGAGAGAGTTCAAAGGAAGAGTGAAAATGGGATGTCAGTTTTTCCCGCAGTTCACTGGCCAAAATTAGTTGCATGACCCCAGTCTAAGTGAATACAAAATGTAGGAGGAGCACAAGGAATATTAATGAGCATTACTATTTCTTCAACACATGTTCTGTTTTTATTTTCTCCATACTAATCAGATTTTATTATATGATTTATGTATTTTATATAACTTATACATATTTATATATCATTTGTGTGCTTTTGTGTTTACTATTTAGTGCCTCCTCTAGCAAGAATAGAAACTTATTCTCATACTGGCAGGGGAGATACCATGATCACGAAGGTGGTTTTCCCAGGGCGAGGCTTATCCATTGCACTCTGGATGTGCCGATCCCTGTGATTTCCCCAAATGTGGGAAACTCGACTGCGTAATTTGTGGTAGTGGGGGACTGCGTGTGTTCATGCTTTCCCCTGAAAAAAAAAAAAAAAAGAAACGAAACTCACTCTCCCAGAAAAGAATACAATTATTCTCCAAGGAATATTTAGAATATAAAATTAGTAAGACTTTATTATTGATTGAATACAATGGATAAGGAAAAAATTAAGGATAATTCATGTTTCTCATTTGGATTACATGGTTTTTGGTGTTTCCAAATGAAATAGGGACTATCAGAGGAGGAAGAAGTGTGGGTGATAGGATGATGAGTTTGGTTTGAGGTATAGTGGGTTTACCTCCATAGGGACCTCAAGGCGGAGATATGTGCAGAGTTGGATATATGGTTCTTAAACCCAGGGAAATGGGTAGGTCTTCAGCATGCCTAGTAGTAGTTAAAAATTAAGAAAGGGGGCTGGGTGCATTGGCTCACTGCCCTGTAATCTCAGCACTTGCAAAGCCAAGGTGCGTGGATCACTCGAACTCAGGAGTTTGAGACACCCATCTGCAGTCCTGGCTGCTCGGGAGGCTGAGGTGGAAGGATTGCTTGAGTCCGGGAGGCTAGGGCTGCAGTGAGCCATGATTACACTACTGCATATCAGCCTGGGTGACAGAATAAGACCCTGTCTAAAAAAAAGGGAAAGGTAAGACTGTCAGTAACAACTAAGAACAGAATCCTTCTTTATACAATATTTAAGGAACAAAAAGAGGAAGATATGCTCTTGTGCAGGAAATGCAGCAAAAAATAAATGGTCCAAGGGGAACCAGGAGAGTATGAGACTGTGACTGTCAAGGGTATTTAGAGTTTTCAAGGAGAATGTGAGGGACGATGGTAAATGTAGGAGAGATGTCAACAAAACAAAACAAAAAACTGCCTGTAGTTCCAGCTACTCAGGAGGCTAAGGCAAGAGGATCACTTGAGCACAGGAGTTAAGGCAGTAGTACACTATGGTCACACCTGGGAATAGCCTCTGTACTCCAGCCTGGGCAACATAGTGAGAACTTTGTCTCTCTAAAAAACAAAACAGCAAAAAACAATTGTGTACTAAACATTTTCTACTCTTCTTACAAGCGTACTTAACTCCTTTGCTCCTTTATTTCAACCCAACTTCTCTTTTTTTTTTTTTTTTTTGAGACGGAGTTTCGCTCTTGTTACCCAGGCTGGAGTGCAATGGCGCGATCTCGGCTCACCGCAACCTCCGCCTCCTGGGTTCAGGCAATTCTCCTGCCTCAGCCTCCTGAGTAGCTGGGATTACAGGCACGCACCACCATGCCCAGCTAATGTTTTGTATTTTTAGCAGAGACGGGGTTTCACCATGTTGACCAGGATGGTCTCGATCTCTTGACCTCGTGATCCACCCGCCTCGGCCTCCCACAGTGCTGGGATTACAGGCTTGAGCCACCGCGCCCGGCCCTCAACCCAACTTCTCTAACCACCTTGGCTTCAGTTTCATTGAGAAATTTGAAGTCATCAGGCATGAACAGCCCCAAATGTTCCCTCCCTTCTTCCCTTTACAGACGTACCACCATGCCTATCCATCCTTTCCTCTTTCCTTCCAATCTCAGGACATTCAAAGCCAACTCTTCCACTAGTGCCATTGATACCAAGAATTGTCTACACTTTCTGTTTATGCTTTGTCCCTTTTTATGATTTTTGCTCCTAGTATTCCAGTAAAATTTTTCCCAGTAAGGAGACAATTTGAAATTTTAGTTGATGGGGTGGAAGTGAAAAACTACGACAAGGTGTTAAATATTGAATACAGGTAGGGGAATAGCAATATAAATTGCAGATAGCAGTCACTGATGAGGTGAGAGGGAGATAATGCCAGTGCTCCTCCCCAGGCAACTGTAGACATTCACATGGACCAGATTCAGGTACTATTCCAGAGTGTCTTACCTGTCCTCCTTCTATACCAAGCCAGTGATTGAATCTTCATTGTAGAAGCAAAAATGAGCTAGTTCCCACAATAAATAATGAAGACACATGAGATTTCATTCATTTGTTCATTTGTGCAAAAGTATTTCTTGAATGTCTGCTATGTGCCATACTCAGGGTTAGGTGCTGGGAATATAATGCGGAGAAAAACACAAAGTTCTTGTTTTAGTGGCATTTATAGAATAGTGATTTGATTTGTCTTTTGTTTGTCTGTCTCTAACTTAAATTTGTTTAACTAATTTTACTTTTTTTCCCCTTTAGTATCCTCTTATATATGGACTGATTCTTATTCCCTGCTGGTGTTTTCTAGTTTGCCTAAGTAGAATTTACATGGGAATGCACTCCATTCTGGTAAGGAAAATATTGTGTTCTTATACTTTATTTTTTGTGACATTGACAGGCAGTTTTATAATGTTTAATCATTTGCAAACTTACCCAAAGCCTAAATGAGAAAATATAGTTACTGTAAGTCTTCTTTGTTTTGCAAAAATATCAACATGATGCTTTGTGAAGTTTTTTTTTTTTTTTTTAAGACGGGGTTTCACCATGTTCGTCAGGCTGGTCTTGAACTCCCGGCCTCAGGTGATCCGCCCGCCTTGACCTCCAAAGTGCTTGGATTACAGGCGTGAGCCACCACGCCCGTCCACTTTATGAAGCATGAATGTAGTAGTTATGTATTTCACAGAAACAGTTTCCAGCAATCACAATAGTCAAGTACTATAATCAAGATAACATTTCTTCCTCCTTCCAGTCTCACTTTTATTTTCCTTTGCAGTCTTTTCTGTTTCTCTTCTATCACTGAGTCAAAACCAGCAATGTGACTACAGAAATTAAGCAGAGCTCCGAAGTATTGTTGAAGACCTAGTGACTAGAAACTATGTGAAGTTAAATTATCCAGGGGCCATTTGTATTTACATATTAAATACAGGATATCAAGATCAGCTTGGGCAACATAGCGAAACCCCTTCTTCATAAACACACACACACACACACACACACACGCACACGCACACATACGCACAGTATTAGCCAGGCGTAGTGGTTGATGTTAGAGTGAGACCCTGTCTCAAAAAAAGAAATATGAAGAATAGAGGCGTGACAATCATGTCATTTGAGATTTCCATATCCAAATGCATGGTCAGAGTTTGAGTTACTTGTGGAATCTCTGAGTAATTGAAAAAAAAAAAATCCAGTTGATCAGAATTCTTTGGTAATTTTTAGTATGTATCAATGAGTTTTCACAGAAGACATCCTGTTCCAAAAAAATGTTGAGGCTGGGCAGTGGGTAATGCCTATAATTCCAACACTTTGGGAAGCTGAAGCGGGTGGATCACTTGAGCCCAGGAGTTCGAGACCAGCCTGGACAACATGGGGAAAGCCTGTCTCTACAAAAAATACAAAATTTAGGCATGCCACTACACTCCAGGCTTGGTGACACAGCGAGACCCTGTCTCAAAAAAAAAAAAAAAAAAGTTGAACATTTAGTTTCTCTTCACTCCTGATATTTCTGATGCTCAAAATGTTAATTTTTGTAAGAAATGTGTTAAGTATCTTCAGTATATGAGGGTAAATAAGTAGCTGTGTGACCTTACTCCAGTTTTTATTATTTAAAAACTGGTTGATTAAGGTTTAATCATAAACTTCCATCAAATTTGCACTTTTGAGAGGGAAAAAGGTGCTTTTAATACCTATCCTGGGGACAAGAGCAAAATGGGACTCTTCAAGGCAAGCCATTTCATGTTGGTTGTGATGATTAAATGTGACAATAATTGTAAAGTACCGAAGCAGTGTTTTTAGTACAGAAAGTTATTATTCCCCAAAAATGCGTTAGGCCAGGTTCAATAAATTATATATACTTCTCTTAGAGAGCTCTTGGTAAGTAGGATTATATAGTCCATGTGATGAGTCTAAAGAATTACCTTAACTGTCTCTCTCTTTCTCTTTCCCTCCCTCCCTCCCTCCCTCCCCTCCTTCCTTCCTTCCTTCCTTCCTTCCTTCCCTCCCTCCCTTCCCTTCCCTTCCCTTCCCTCCCTCCCTCTCTCCCTCCCTTCCTTCCTTCCTTCCTTCCCTTCCTCCCTCCCTCCCTTCCTTTCTCTCTCTCTTTCTCTCTTTGTTCTTTCTTCTTTCTCTTTTGGTTTTTAAAATTATTTATTTATTTTTATTTTTGAGATGGAGTCTCTGTCACCCACGCTGGAGTGCAGTGGCACAATCTCGGTCCACTGCAACCTCTGCCTCCTGGGTTCAAGGGATTCTCCTGCCTCAGCCTCCTCAGTAGCTTGGACTACAGGCGTGCACCACCACACCCAGCTAATTTTTATATTTTTTAGTAGAAACAGGGTTTCACCATATTGGACAGGCTGACTCGAACTCCTGACCTCATGATCCACCCATCTCAGTCTCCCAAAGTAATGGGATTACAAGCGTAATTTAATTTTTATTTTTCAATAATTACCTGGCCTTTATTTTTATTTTTAAAGAATTACCGGCCAGGTGCAGTGACTCACGCCTGTAATCCCAGCACTTTGGGAGGCGGAGGTGGTCAGATCACAAGGTCAGGAGATCAAGACCATCCTGGCCAACATAGTGAAACCCCGTCTCTCTTAAAAATACGAAAACTAGCCAGGTGTGGTGTTACAGCACCTGTAGGCCTGGCTACTCAGGAGGCTGAGGCAGGATAATTGCTTGAACCCGGGAGGCGTAGGTTGCAGTGAGCTGAGATTGCGCCACTGTACTCCAGCCTGGGTGACAGAGCGAGACTCCATCTCAGAGAAAAAAAAAAAAAAAAAGACGAATTACCTTATCTGTCTTAATTTAACTAACCAAATGTTTATTTCCTGCTTACTAATTTTTCATGCACTGAAAATATATGTATTTTGCCTATGAGTAGTCATAGTCTAATTATGCAATGTGTAATAAAACAATGTACTGGATTTGTTTTCAACCAAGAGTGTACATTAGAATCACTGGGGAGAATTTTTAAAAATATTGATGCCCCAGCCGGGCGTGGTGGCTCACACCTATAATCCCAGTACTTTGGGAGACCGAGGCGGGTGGTCATCTGAGGTTGGGAGTTCCGAGACCAGCCTGATCAACATGGAGAGACCCCGTCTCTACTAAAAAGACAAAATTAGTGGGGCATGGTGGTACATGTCTGTAATCCCAGCTACTTTTGGGAGGCTGAGGCAGGAGAATCTCTTGAACCCGGGAGGCCGAGGTTGCCATGAGCTGAGATCACACCATTGCACTCCAGCCTGGGCAACAAGAGCGAAACTCTGTCTCAAAAAAAAAAAAAAAAACTGTTATCCCACCTTCACTTCAATTCAATCAGAGTCTCTGAAGATTGTCTCAGGCATCAGTATTTTTATCAAGTTCTCCACTATGATTTTAATCTATAGCAAGGATTATGAACTTTTGATTTCCTGGAGAAATAGGCAAAGAATGAAAAACTGTCATAGCAGTTGGGATTACACCTGTAATCCCAACACTGTGGGAGTCCGAGGCAGGTGGATTGCTTGAGCTCAGGAGTTGGAAACCAGCCTGGGCAACATGGCAAAACCTTGTTGACAAAAATAGGAAAATTATTCTAGCCGGGCGTGATGGTGCATGTTTGTAGTCCCAGCTACTTGGGAGGCTGAAGTGGGGAAGACAACTTGAACCCAGGAGGTGGAGGTTGCAGTGAGGTGAGATTGTGCCACCACAGTCCAGCCTGGGTGACAGACTCTGTCTCAAAAAAAAAAAAAAAAAAAAAAAAAGCATTCAAGTTCAACTGTAATCAGTTAACTACAGGTATTGATCGACTTACGACCTATGCAACTTACTTACGACCATTTGACTTTACGACCACAATCGCTAGCCATGACTGCTCCGCGTCTGGCAGCGCAAACATTGCCCAGCTGGGCGTACAACAGTGCGGACCAGTTTCCGGCAGCACTACCATCTCCGCGTGCATATAGCCTACTCAACTTACGACCAAATCATGTTACGACCGGTCGGTTGGAACCAATCATGGTCGTAAGTCGAGCACTAGCTGTAATCAAAAACAATTTAAATGACTATGTGAGAAAACAGATAAATTGTATAATATGCAGCAAAATATTATGATTGTGAAAGTGAATGACCAATGACTACATGTAATATAATGAATGACTCTTAAGTGTAAAGAGGAGATCAAAAAAGACTGATATAACATTTTAGCAAAGCTCAGAAAGAAGCAAAATGAGATAATTTTTTTTTTTTTAGACAGGTCTTGCTCTGTCACCCAGGCTGGAGTGCAGTGGCATGATCTCAGCCCTTAGGGTTCTAAGTGATTCTCCTGACTTAACCTCCAGAGTAGCTGAGATTACAGGCATGTGCCACCACACCTGGCTAATTTTGTATTTTTAGTGGAGATGGGCTTTCACCATGTTGGTTAGGCTGATCTCGAACTCCCAACCTCAGGTGATCCTCTCACCTTGGCCTCCTAAAGTGCTGGAATTACAGGGGTGAGCCACTGTACCTGGCCCAAGCTGGGCAATATTTTGCTTGAAGATGTGTGGTATAACAATTTTTAAAAATAGGTGTTTATGACTGGGCCTGGTGGCTCATACCTATGATCCTAGTTCTTTGGGAGGCCAAGGCAGGTTGATTGCTTGAGCCCAGGAGGTCAAGACCAGTTGAGCAACCTGGTGAAACCTGGTATCTACAAAATAAAACAAAACAAAAATAAAAAGAAAACCCAGGTATTTATTAAGCCACAATTCAAGCTTGCAAATTGCTTGTGGGGAGGAATGCAAAGTGATAGGATTGAGAAACAGCACAACAGTAGATTTGACAATAGTTGTAATATTATAGTTCTTTTTTTGGGAAGTGATTGCATAGATATGAATTTTATAATTTCATATACACTCTACATGTATTTTGCTATGTATCAAATATTAAATAAAAAAATTTAAAGATAAAAACATTAAGCAACTAGTCTGTTGCTTAACTGTATTGAATATTGTTAAGAAATTACCATTGTTTTTGTTTTTCTCTTTATTATTTTTCATTAGTAATAGTAACATAAGGAACTGACCATTGTTTTTGAAGACCCCTAGTATCCAAGAAAAAAGTGGTTTCAGTGCAGTGGTGAGTTTAGAGAAAAATTGGAGGTGAGGAAGTGGAGACAGTGAATATAGGCACTGATACATTTTTCAGTAATAGAGAGTAGATGATAGGGTTTTGTTTTCTTATCAGGTAGAAATATGGAACATTTTTGTATGTTGTCAGGAATGATTCAGAAGGTTATTTAATAGCTTTGTTTCCTCAATTAAACTGTCTTTTATCAAATCTGCACAATTGCTCCTCCCTAAAACTAGGAACCATCTTTTTTTTTTTTTTCATATCTCTAGCTGTATTTTTATAACTCCCCTGTTTATTTTGAAATATTCATATGATTTTGACATTAACTCAAAATACACAGAAATTACTTGTATCTGCCTATACATTTATTAAATGCTGATGAAGAATACTTAACAATCAATATTTATGCATGCCAAATAAAACTTTTCCCAATTTTTAAAATTATTTTTAAAAATAAGCCAATTTATATTGGACATTTGGGTTATGCGTGCATATAAAAGTCATATTCCTCAGCTAGTCTAACTGACCACAGATAGACTAGCATACAAGTGTCCTTCTTTCTGGATGGAATTAAGTTTCAGAGGCAAAGTGGTTCAGATGGGAGCAAATGAGCTGAGCTCCTCATGAAGTAAACTCGACAAAATCAAGAAGTATTAAAGGTGCTAATGACTGATTCCATAAATCTTTCTGTCTTCTCTATCTTTTCAATATACAAGTATGCACTATGGGTGTGTATAAATTAAAACACTTCTAATCTATACTGTGAGCTCCTATGGAGGGGCTACTGTGAATACATAAAAGGCCCTGGGGAAGAGAGAAGTAGTGCAGGGGAGCAGAGGGCATCTGCCCTCCATCAGGCCATCCACACAAACCTACTGAGAGGTAGACTCGATGATCTAGGTCTCAACGGGCTTAGATGTTGACCTGGACCTTGAAGTGGGGTTTTCCTTCATTGTATTTTATGTTGTTTGTTCAACTATTTTTGTAATTGGGGCAAAGTGAGATGTTCAACTAGTCTAAGAATGCTTTATATACCCCATAAACTGAGTCAAAGGTTTTTATTTATTCTTCTGCCAATCACAACTGATTTCCACCTAGAATTATTTTGTAAGGTAAGAAACAGTAAGTCAACTGAACAAAGAGCTGGGCCTTTGGGATCTGGAACATTATTACACGCTGACTGGGAAACGCAGGGCCTCAGGATGGGGTCTGGTCAGCCTGGCTGCAGCAGGGTACGAACCTGCCTTAGTGGGCCTTCTCCAAGAATGCTCTGCAGCACCTGACACACTGCTGGTACACCGCCTCAAAGTCAGAGTCATTCCCATAATAAGGATCTTCAATAATAAATTGTTTTTGTGGATCATAGCTCCCAAGTAGTTCAATTTTAGCTTTGCAGGTTTTAACTTGATTACGTTTTCTATTCAAATCTCTCAGATTGCTTTCATCCATACATAGTATATAATCAAATGTGGCAAAATCTTTGGTAATCCGTCTTTCTTTATGGGCTGAGTGAATGCCATGATTTCTTAGGGAGCACACAGCTCTTGGGTCTGGGGACCGGCCCACGTTCCAATCAGAAACAGCACCACTGTCAATGACCCAGTTCTCTGAGATCTTTTGATCACTTACAAGTTTCCTGAAAACTGCTTCTGCAATGGGTGATCGACAAATGTTACCCAGACACACAAACAGCACGGACTTGGTAACCGGCTCCGCCATCTTCCCGCGCGTAGTGGCGCCAAGAAACCGCTTTGTGACGCACGCTGATGCAGCACATGTGTACTGCCAGCCTCTCGCCCCGCGGGCCTCGGGAACCATCTTTGATTCCTCTCTCTCTCTCCTCTCGCTCTCGCTCTCCTCTCTCCTCTCTCCTCTCTCCTCTTTTTCACATACAGTCCATCATCAAGTTAAACTTGTTAATTCTTTTCTTAAACATTTTTTTTTTTTTTTTTTGGAGACGGAGTTTGGCTTTTTTTACCCAGGCTGGAGTGCAACGGGGCAATCTCGGCTCACCCCAACCCCCGCCTCCCGGGTTCCGGCGATTTTTCTGCCTCAGCCTCCTAAGTTGCTGGGACCACAAGCTGGAGCCACCATGCCTGGCTAATTTTTGAATTTTTAGTAGAGACAGGGTTTCACTATGTTGCTCAGGCTGGTCTTGAACTCCTGGCCTCAAGTGATCTGCTCACCTTGTCTTCCCAAAATGCTGGGATTACAGGTGTGAGCTACCATACCCAGCCACAGTCTTGTCATTTTTTTAAAGCAATGTATCCTCAATCCTTAAAATAGGGGTTGATACTCACTAAGTATTTGTTGAATGAATGAATGAATGAATGAATGAGAAAAGAAAATTACCTAGGATGTATATGTGATCCTGGAGATAATAACATACATAAACACATGAAAATGAAAACCATGCCGGGCGCGGTGGCTCAAGCCTGTAATCCCAGCACTTTGGGAGGCCGAGGCAGGTGGATCACGAGGTCAAGAGATCAAGACCATCCTGGTCAACATGGTGAAACCCCGTCTCTGCTAAAACTACAAAAAATTAGCTGGGCATGGTGGCGCGTGCCTGTAATCCCAGCTACTCAGGAGGTTGAGGCAGGAGAATTGCCTGAACCCAGGAGGCGGAGGTTGCGGTGAGCCGAGATTGCGCCATTGCACTCCAGCCTGGGTAACAAGAGCGAAACTCCGTCTCAAAAAAAAAAAAAAAAAAAGAAAATGAAAACCATTTCTTTGAATATTAAGTGTACTCTTTTCCCCAGAAATGAAAACTACACAATTTTAGCATACTTTGTTCAGAATTTGAATATAAATTTGTGTATATTATATATGTAGTTAATTTATAAAGCAGTAGAATTATGAAAATAGAGATGTTTTTATTGTCATTGATAGTTTTTCATGCCTCTTGTATGGTCAGTTAATAAAGTTTACTTTGAGAATTTGACAGCTTAAAAAATTATATCTATTTAACATTTGAAATGTCAAATATAAATTATTTTTTTATGTCAAAAATGTTTAGTATTATAGTAAACAACGATACTCTTATCTTTTCCTAGGATATTATTGCTGGATTCCTATATACCATTTTAATCTTAGCTGTCTTCTATCCATTTGTGGACCTGATTGACAACTTCAACCAAACTCACAAATATGCTCCATTAATCATCATCGGGCTTCATTTAGCTTTGGGGATCTTTTCTTTCACCCTTGACACCTGGAGCACATCCAGAGGAGACACGGCAGAGATTCTAGGAAGTGGTGCTGGAATTGCATGTGGATCTCATGTTACTTATAAGATGGGTCTAGTGTTAGATCCTTCTCTAGATACATTACCTTTAGCTGGTTCCCCCATTACTATGACTCTCTTTGGGAAGGCCATATTGCGGATCCTCGTAGGGATGGTATTTGTGCTGGTAGTCAGAGATATAATGAAAAAGATCACCATTCCTTTAGCCTGCAAAATCTCCAATATACCGTGTGATGATATTCGAAAAGCAAGACAGCACATGGAAGTTGAACTTCCTTATCGGTATATTACCTATGGAATGGTTGGTTTCTCCATCACATTTTTTGTTCCTTACATATTTTTCTTTATTGGTATCTCTTGATGGAGAAATATTGTTTGTGAAAAGAAAGGAGGGTATCAGTTACTGATACCTAAAAATATATTTCAAGTAAAAGCCAGATCAGATTTAGGCTTTTGCAGGAATTTAACTTAAATAATTATTTAAGTAAATTCATAAGAGTCAGTGCATTTTATCATTGCACATCCAGATATTGTTTTAGGTGAGCTGAGCTATTTCAATACTGAGAAAATGATAAGTATCCATTTAGAATGTTAATGTAATGTTTGGAGAGTTTTGTGTTGTTATGGATTCAACTTATATATAATATATATAAGGTACATAATATGCAATTATATATCTGATATATATTATATATAAAATAATATACCTAAGTGTTTTTTTAAACTATGGGAGTGTATTATAAAATCAATAATAATATGCAAACAGTTGTGCCTGTGTATTTGAACTAAATACAGGTATGTTGTTATTAACATACATTTAACATTTATTTACTATGGGAGCCATTTCCTAATTGAATTGCATAATTACTAGACCAGAATGCGTATGCTACTATACATTGATTTACTGCCTGTTTTTACACTGCCATTACCTTTCATGTTACCCATGATGTTGAACATGGGAGACATTTTTAATGGACCAAATTTTTAGGAAAATTATTTTTTGGATTGTTTAGTTTTTTTAAGTTCTGTATACTGTTTTGAATGTACTTTATTTGCAACTGTTCTGGACATCAGTTTATTAATTCAGGTACTGAATTTTATTTCTTGCTAATTGTGCCTTTCTGTTGCTGAATTAAGAAATGCTATGTATACTGTGATGTAAAAATAAGACATTAATTTTATCTTAAGTTACATATAATCAGGCAAGTATTTTTAAAAATATATGTCAAGGTGACAGGCATAGAAGTAAATTGCCCTTACTCTTTAGCCTTTATTTAGAAAGAAATGTGGAATGGTCTAAACTTTCTCACCAATTTGTTAGAAAGCTAAATGGATAAATACTTCCCTTTTTGTAGATATTTTTCTGTGCATTGTAAGTTATAGGAACAAGATATATTTTTTGTACATTGTCTTGATTGTTTATACTGCAGGTAGATACTTCCAGTGAATGGAAATGTAGTTGAAATTTATAGATGGGACAATGCACATACTTCATATGAAAACAGAGCATTTTTCTAAATAATTTGGAAAGGATTGGATTTAGCACTGTTAACTTTTAATACCCATTTATTAGCTACTTAAGGTAAATTATAAAACCTAAAATTAATGTCAGTATTTTGGATCCTATTATTTTTTTCAACTTTTTATTTTCACAGTGGCAAGTTTGCATATAGTATTAAACTATTATTTTTTCTGTCTGTGCCTTTCTATTTTGAAGTGTGGTTGTACTTACATTAACATTAAATGTATTTGTAGAAAGTTTTTCATAAAGAAGAGGATTAACTTTCCATGTAAATGAATACCAGGTATGAAATTACTGATTTTAGTGCAATATCTATACAATTATCCAGAACTATCACTTCAGATGTTTCTATTTTGGGCACCGTAACTATTTGAGCTCATATTTTTGTAATTCTGATTGAGAATTTAGGGGCATCGTAATTTTTACCAAAACTGAAGCTGATAATTTTAAGTAAAGCAACTAAATTTACCCTTTACTTATTAGTTAAAAGGAAACCAAGGCAGGTAGGAAAATAACGGTACGTTGGAAAATGTGAAAAGAGCTTTACTTTCAAAATGTGTTTTTAATGAATTGAAGTTTAGGGACTGTTTCCCGTAATTTGGGTCTGTGCTATCCTATTAATTTTTATATGTAGCTTAAAAGATATTTGAAAATGTTCCATTTCTTTGTGTTTTATTATTTTCTGTCCCATGACAGTTCTATGCTAAATGCATTTTAAAATAAAAGCTAAATTGAAGATTGAAGAAGGTTTTTCTTTGTTTTGTTTGCCTTCCAGGCAATTGTTTCTGTTTTATGTGGTAGAGATTTTAAAAATACGTCTTGGATTTTCATTCTGGCACATGTTTCCTCTGAAGCATTTTGTTCAAAATCAAAGTGCTGTTTTGGCAATGGAAGACGCTGAAGAAATTCTTTGAGGTACAAACTGACTTTGGCTCCATTTATGATTATCTCTAACATTGTACTTTTAGTAAAAAGTTTCATAATACTTTTTTAAAAAAAGCTTATGCACAAAAAAATCCAAAATTTGCCGGGCGCGGTGGCTCAAGCCTGTAATCCCAGCACTCTGGGAGGCCGAGGCGGGTGGATCACAAGGTCAAGAGATCGAGACCATCCTGGTCAACATGGTGAAACCCCGTCTCTACTAAAACTACAAAAAATTAGCTGGGCATGGTGGTGCGTGCCTGTAATCCCAGCTACTCAGGAGGCTGAGGCAGGAGAATTGCCTGAACCCGGGAGGCGGAGGTTGCGGTGAGCCGAGATCGCGCCGTTGCACTCCAGCCTGGGTAACAAGAGCGAAACTCTGTCTCAAAAAAGAAAAAAAAAAAAAAAAAAAAAAATCCAAAATTTAAAAATTTTAAAAAGGAAATAAAAAATAAAGCTTATGCACAAAAATGCTTCAGAAAAATTTGTAACTAATAGTATTGTAGGTAGTATACTGCTTTTCCATGAATGTCAAGGATTAATCATAAAACTAGGAAGAGGTACTTTTCAAGCAGAAGAAAACATAGGGACATTTTATTTTGTAATTTTAAAATGCCATGATGGACCAGGCGTGGTGGCTGACACCTGTAATTCCAGCACTTTGGGAGGCCAAGGCAGGTGGATCACGAGGTCAGGAGTTTGAGACTAGCTTGACCAACATGGTGAAACCCCGTCTCTACTAAAAATACAAAAATTAGGCCGGGCGCGGTGGCTCAAGCCTGTAATCCCAGCACTTTGGGAGACCGAGGTGGGTGGATCACGAGGTCAAGAGATCGAGACCATCCTGGCCAACATGGTGAAACCCCGTCTCTACTAAAAATACAAAACATTAGCTGGGCATGGTGGTGCGTGCCTGTAATCCCAGCTACTCAGGAGGCTGAGGCAGGAGAATTGCCTGAACCCAGGAGGCGGAGGTTGCGGTGAGCCGAGATCGCGCCATTGCACTCCAGCCTGGGTAACATGAGTGAAACTCCGTCTCAAAAAAAAAAAAAAAAAAAAAATACAAAAATTAGCTGGGCATGGTAGCACGTGCCTGTAATCCCAGCTCCAGCTACTCAGGAGGCTAAGGCAGGGGAATCGCTTGAATCGGAGGCGGAGATTGCCTTGAGCAGAGACCATGCCACTGCACTCCAACCTGGGCGACACAGCAAGACTCTGTCTCAAAAAAAAAAAAAAGAAAAAGTCATGATGTGTGAAATGCAAAAACCAGGTCTGCCAGAAACTAATTATATGACCTAATATAAAACAATGCTACTTCAAGATTGACACAATTATTTTTATTTTGTAGCTTTCTTTACAAGTAATGTTTATTTTATATATATAATGTATATTTCAAAGACAACATAAAAAATGAATTTAGTGAAATGAGAATTTAAAAGCAAATTTTCTCTCACCCTCTCTGTTATTCCCTTAAAGGCAAATTTTTACAAAGCCTTCAATAAAGATGAGTAATACTAGTTTCTGAAAATATATAATCAAAAAAATTTTAAAAGGCTCCTCAAGTGAAGCAGTGGGAGTGGAGAAAGATATAATCACACAATTTTATATGACAAAAATTTTGTATTGGTAAAACAATTTTATTCTTGTTAACAAGGAATTGTTTATGCTAGATTTAAAACCTAACTCGGTAAGCTGAGGTGGGAGGATCACTTTAACCCAGGAGGTGGAGGTTGCAGTGAGCTATGATCATGCCACCACGTTCCAGTCTGGGTGACAAAGCAAGCCTGCATCTGAAAGAAACAAAGGAACAAACTTTTACACTTGAATTTTGATTGTGGTTACATAAGTTATACATAGCACAATAAAAATTTTAACATGCTGATTGTAAAGGACTTTTAGAAAGCTCTTAATTGTTAAGCTCACTAGATCACTTTATAAAGAAACAGCTCTTCCTTGTGAGACACACAGGAGAGAAATTTCAAAGAAAAATAAACTTTTTACAAAATAAAAATGTTTAAGGAAATAAACGTGTTTATTTGTTTGTTTGTTTATTTATTTATTTAGAGATAGGGTCTTGCTTTCTCACCCAAGCTGGGGTACAATGGCATGATCACTGCTCATTGCCGCCTCCACCTCCTGGGCTTAATCCATCCTCCCACCTTAGCCTCCTGAGTAACTGAGAATACAGGCATGTACCACCACGTTTGGCTAATTTTTCTATTTTTATAGAGATGGGGGTATCACTGTGTTGCCTAGACTGTTCTTGAACTCCTGGGCTGAAGCAATCCTCCCATCTCAGCCACCAAAAGTGCTGGTATTATAGGTGTGAGCCACTGTGCCAGGCTAGAAATGTAATTCTTAAGTTTCAACTAGCTGGCTTTTCTAAATTTGCCCTTCCCTTGCCTCCTTTCTCTCCCAAATACGGGATTCTATATCTGCTAGCAGCAATCTATAAGCAGAATAAAATGTACTTTGATAACTATTGTACTGACTGTTCATGCTAAAAACCTTTAGTAATTGTGAAAGCTCTATTACCTATAAATATGAAAACCAGATTATTTCATTGCTCCAGAGCCCCTATGAGACTGTTTCATTTTTCCTTTCATCATTTTTAGTTTTGTTGCATTTTCCATGGATGTCTAGTAAGCTCATTCTCTGGTACAGCAACAGGATCTGATAATATTTTTGTTTTTTTAAGGGTTTTTTATTTCCTGTTTTCTAAAAATCAAGTGAATTTTAAATATTTTCTTTTTTATGATGACATTTTCTTAGCAGATATAAAATGGATTCTCTTTTTTTTAAAAAAAATTCCCACAATAGAATTAAATTATTAGCCCCTCAATATTTACATGAAAAGTGACAAAATCCTTACTGGATGAGGATTTAAAAAAAAATTCCTGGCCAGGAGGTGGCTCACGCCTGTAATCCCAGCACTTTGGGAGGCCAAGTTGGGTGGATCACCTGAGGTCAGGAGTTTAAGACCAGTCTGACCTACATAGCAAAACCCCGTCTCTACAAAAAAAATATATAAAATTAAAAGACAAAAATAAAAATAATTAAAAAAATAATAAAAAATTAGGTGAGCATTGGTGGTAAGCGCTTATAATCCCAGCTACTTGGGAGGCTGAGGCAGGAGAATTGCTTGAACCCAGGAGGCAGAGCTGAGATTGCACCATTGCACTCCAGCCTGGGCAACAAGAGTGAAACTCCGTCTCAAAAAAAAAAAAAAATTCCTGAGCTGGGGTTTATCCTTTGTCCTAAATTAGGAGGCCTCTTAACTGAAATCTATTGTAGTATCTATCAGTGAAATCTATCACTATATTAGTCTGTTCTCATGCCGCTATAAAGAACTGCCCAAGGCTGAGTAATTTATAAAGAGGTTTAATTGACTCACAGTTCTGCATGTCTGGGGAGGCCTCAGGATACAGTCATGGCAGAAGGTACCTCTTCACCGAGTTGCAAGATGGAGTGAGGGTGAGTGGTGAGCTAAGAGGGAAGCCCCTTATAACACCATCAGATCCCATGAGAACTTACTCATGATCATGAGAAGAGCATGGGGGAACTGCCCCCATGATTCAAGTATCTCCACATAGTCTTGCCCTTGACATGTGGGGATTATTACAATTCAAGATGAGATTTGGGTGGGGACACAAAGGCAAAGTGTATCAATCACAGTCTGTAACTATGTGTTATTTACTTTTAAAATTTTCTATCTTGGCTGGGCGTAGTGGCTCATACCTGTAATCCAAGCACTTTGGAGGCCAAGGCAGGCAGATCATCTGAGGTTGGGAGTTCAAGACCAGCCTGACCAACATGGTGAAACTCTGTCTTTAAAACAAAACAAAACAAAAAAATAAAATTTTCTATCTTTATCCCTATGATGTAAGCTTCATGAGGAAAAAGACCTTGTACATCTTTTTACTTCTGGATCCCTGGGACACAATAGGCATTCAATTAATATATGTCGAATGAATTACATGATTATTCAATCCTTAGGCTTCAATATGCACATTTTTCTGGAGAAAAAGTTTGTTTGACAAACAAATAGCAGTTCGTCTGGAACATCCAAGGTACCTGCAAGGGAGTAAGACGTAAAGTTGAAAAGCTTGTTGAAATATCCAGTCAACAATGGGTTTGGTGAAGTGTTTTCTTCCTTTGCCAGTAGAAGGGCTGCACTATTACTTAGCTCAGGGGTGAATTACACCTAAATTGAAGGTAATCAAAAGTATTTTTTGATATATACTTAATTATTAAGTGTTTTGATTTTTGTTTTTTAAAATCTATGATAACGGAACAATTACATGTTTACTTATTAAGAGGAGAAATAAGGCAACTTTTATATATGTGTATTTTTATAAGACAGGGTTTCACCATGTTGGCCAGGCTGGTCTTGAATTCCTGACGTCAGGTGATCCACCCGCCTCGGCCTCCCAAAGTGCTGAGATTACAGGCGTGAACCACCACACCCGGCCGGCAACTTTTATATTAATCCTAGATTTTATATGAAAAATCCCAAAACTGTGAATTTGGGTGACATGGTATCATGACTGCTACAATTGCCATTCTTTAGAAGAGGACGCCCCAGGAAGTTAGGAGAACTTTGGATGTGAATCTATACTCCCCTCACCTTCCAAGCCCTCACAAAAAGGTCCTATAACAAATTAATGACATACCTGGAAACTCATGCACAGACCATGAGGATTGACATCATGAGGCTGAGTCTGCAGACCTAGCTACTTTTATACAGACCAGGATTTACAATGCGTTCTACAGGTAAGGCAAGCTTCCCAGATTTGCAGGTATGCTCTGGGAATAAAGTTGG